ATTATAAGCATTCACTTCAAATATTTGTTTTATTCTGTGTAGGTCTCTAAGAAGATAAGTAATCACTTGGGAGGGAGTGATTAAAACACCTAGGGCAGATTAGCCCCGTGGGTGGCTCAGCCAGGATGCCCACACATGCATTTAGGAGGGGCAAATTTTTATAACCTTTTTAAAGTATAAGCTGTGACTAGTAAGTAATCTTGAAAATATTGGCAGATGACAACTCCTTCCAAAATGTCAAGGCTTGTATCGCCTCTCCATTTCATAGCTACCAATTTAGTTATACAGTAATACGATTCGACTATGAGGTTGTGAAGCAGTGAACTCGCTAGATCCTGGTTTGTTAATTTTCATGCTGACAGTTTCCTTTAGACTCCCTTCTTAGTTCACCTGAAAAACATAACTGTCATCTTTCTCCATTATTTTTCGCTTCTATTTCCACTCTAAGAGATCATGGTCTTTTGTCCTTGCATGTTATTCCTTGAAAGCATCAGCCTCAGATTAATGTAATACCTAATGTAACTGGCATCATTAAAGAATAAAATCCTTCATAAAGTGATTTTCCCAGAGATCTAAGGTATGCCCCTACAAATACCAAAATCACCGTATTTTTTAATTTAGCCATTTTAACAATTGGATTAAATGAAATTTGCACAAGGCATCACGATAGATGATGCAGAAGGCATAAATATGAGCAGACTTGCTACCTATTCTCCAGTGGCTCACAGTCTTGGAGGAGAGAGCACATTAAATAACTATATGTGACAATGACAGAAAAGTGGTACAGAGAAGGGCTATGAAAATACCAAGGAAGGGGACATTATTTCTGGGTCCAGGGGAAACCTCTTGGAAGGAGCAATCTTGATGAAGAATGGGAAAATTTTGAGAAATTCAATGGTGGGAGCAAGTGGCAAAAAGAAAAAAGAAAGAAAAACTATGAGGATAGCCTCTAGGGCAGGAATACATACATACTTGGGTGGGGGTTGGGGGGAGTCACTGGCATATGACCGAGATGAGGCAGAAAGATCATGCCCTCATTTTTAGTGTAATAAATGCCATGCTCAGGTGGTTGGACTTTATTCTGGAATAATAGGTAATCATTGTCTTACTTATGCTTTAGAATTGCGGTAATGACATGATCAGAGCAAAATTCAATTCAATTCAGCACAGCTTATTGAGTGGCTACCATGTCCCCAGTACAGAACTTGATGTAGCAGATATAGAGACACAATCTTAGGGCCGTTTTCAATGACCTTAGAGTGAAGTGGGGAGACCGATGTATAAACACATAATGTCAATAACATGTATTATATTGATCTAATTAAGATACTTGTATATATAGGAGCCTATGGGAGCCCAGGAAAGGGGCATTTGGCCTAATCTGAGGATTAAGGGAGTAGTTGATCCCTGCTCTGAGTCCTGCAGGAGGGGTGAGAGTTATTTGGAAGGAGAGGAGAGGGAAGGACATTCCAGGCCAAGAGAATAGCATGAGCACGGTTACAGAGGCATCACACGGCAATGGAGGTATAAAGAAAGACAAGCTGCTCCATCTTACTAGTCTGCTCAGTGTGAGGCAGAGTCATGGGGGAGGAGAGAGAGATAAGAGTAAGGACTGTGCCCTCACTCGGGCTGGAGGCAGGAAAACTAGGAGACTACTACCATGGCCAAGTCCTAGAGTAATGCTACAGCCCAAACATGAATTCCAAACTTTACTCACTACGTTCTCAAACACTTAAGGAGTTTCAAGTACGTGCTACGGGGCAATTGTTATTAATACTCCTTATCATTCCTAACCTTCAGTACCCCCTAAACACCCAAGTGCCTTACAATCTCCTAGCTCAGAAGAATCTCACTCCCACTTGCTGTGTTCCATCCCTGCTACTTTTGTCTCTTGGTCCCCTCTCTCTTCTCTGCCACCCTAGTCGGTCACATCCTCCTTGAGAGAGTTATCCTTTGGCTCTGTTAGGTTTTCTACCCACAGATCTCCCACCCACAACTCCTTACACAAGGTTTTAATTCTTTCTTTACTCTGCAAGCAGAGCTTGGTGTCAAAGCCAAGTAGGCTACTTTGTGATGGGAAGGCTGTGAACTGACATATGCTAATAGTTTGGGGCCAGTCACAATAACTAAATATAAGATTGCAAGAAAGAACTAGGGAAGTGGCAATGGGCATGGAATGACTTATAGAAATGTACTTAGGGCCTGACAATTAATGGGATGCTGATGGAGGTAGAGAGGAATAGGATTTAAAAACAGCTACAGTTGAGGTCTAGAATAAATAATAGTAGTGTGTATTCACCATGGCTGGGGAATACACACAGAGGAGAGTACTTGAGAAATGGGAATAGAAGATGATAAAATTGACTTTGTATATGATGAGCTGAGGTGTCAGCAAGATAGTCAGGTCACATTTAGCAAGCACAGTGATTCAACTTTATGCAACATGGCAACAATCTCCAAACCTGTGTGCTGTAAAACACCATGCATGGTCAAGCACCTTTGGAAAATGACATACTATGGTCCTTTCTTGGAAATTGGTTATACACCAATCAGTCCTGCAGTAAATAGACCTGTTTAAGTGAACTTTGTTTCCAAACCCCCCTTCCCACTTTTTTTTTTTTTTCCTTTCAGAATGCCTATTAGCATCCTATAGATTTTTTTTCCCGAGAATAATGTTTTAAAAAATGCTCATTACAGCACCAAGGGGCTGTAATCAGAAGATGATTAAGATAGAAAGAACTTGGTAGAGGTGGAGGGAGCTGTTTATTTGCATGGAAGCGAGAACTGAAGCATGATGAATGATGAATCACTAACAGCAAATCGAGAGAGAAAAGGATATTGAAGAGAAAACCTTTATAAACACCATTTTGACATCTCAAATGGCATGTAGAGAATACAATTTGGGGAAGCAGCAAGCTGTGATTAAAAAAAAAAAAAGCGAGGGTTTTAGAGTCAGACGTGTGATCCTGGACCAGAGATTTAATCTCTTTACAACTCAGTTTTCTCACCTGAAAAATAAGGCCCACCTTGTTGGGTTATATTGAGATTAAAAAAAATAATAATACATGAAACAACTACCACATACCAAAAAACCAAAGCTGTTGCTGTCGAGGCGATCCCAACTCCCAGCAACATTATAGGACAGAGTGGAACTGCCCCACAGGGTTTCCAAGGAGCAGCTGGTGGATTTGAACTGCCAGCCTTTTTATTAGCAGCTCAACTCTTAACCACTACGCCACCACGGTTTCCACCTACCGTGTAGTAGACACATAATCCACTCTTAATAAACAGTGTTGTAAATATTATTTTCACTTTATTTTTTCTTAAGGAGTTGAAGTAAAACCTTGATGAGTACACCTCAGCGTGTGACATCTGAACCTTGAAGCTTGAACACTGAATAATTACATAGGATGAAAAGTCTTGCCCATTGGTATCAATACTCTGATACAAAGAAGCGACCCCAGATCAAACAAGTCTGGGACAGGAACAGCGTGATACAGGAAAAGAATCCACAGAAACAAGGCAAGGAAGAAGACACCATAGGAATTTTCCTAAGGAAACTGTGATTCCGTTTTTTCATCAGTTTTTCATGAAGAGACACTGCAAGCTCATATCAGAAACTCAGTGAATACATCTGCTCTCAAAAATTTCTAAGCTAAGAACCCTCTCCACATATGGCTGTAAATATCAATCTGGCATGAGGGGACATCCTCTGACAAGAGTCACTATATGGCACCCTAAGGGGCAGGCCAGGGGATACATGTTCGCGACAGAATACTGGGCTAATGAGATGTGCCTCTGTCTGAATATGTCACACTGTCACAAATACAGGCCTTGGTCATTTTTCTTATTGGTCAGTTCAGCATGCAAGGTCAAAAATGAGTCTGAATTTGGAGTCAAAAGCTATAGCACCTGCCACTACAGATTACTTTTTCTCTTTCCTCAGCACTAGAATGAGGAAATTACCAAGATCTTATCCAGATCTGCTCATTTCAAACTCCAAACGGATGGTCACTGGCATTTACCATTTTGCACAGTCTTTTCTGCAGGTTTTCTCAACTGCAGCCTTTTAGGTCTCAGATCTGCTTGAGGAATTTGATGTTGTTAAGATTGGCCATTCAGCATGACTGACAGGGTTCTTAATCTGGCTGTTCTCATGGCAGCCTAGATGTAGATGGAGGAGATGACTGAAAGGTTGGAGAGCAAGTCTCTGAGGAAAGGTTTAAGCTATCGGGGTTGTTCAGATTCTTGGGAAGGAACAACAGCAGGAAGACTGGGTTATGAGCGTGAATACTCATGGGTATTGTGACAGAAAATGTTCATTAGTTGTTCTCTGAGCAATGATGGATTACTAGGCTAAAGTGTAAATGAAATGTACCCTAGAAATGCACTGGGTATCCCTCAGGGGAGCCCTTGCAGCAGAACATGGGCAATTATGTACTCTAGTTGCTTCCTATGGTCACTTGCAGATTCATATCTATAAAACAGTGCCGCTCAAAGTGCAGTCCAAAGACTACCAGCATCAGCTCCACCTGGATCTGGCATCACCTAGAAATGCAAATTACGAAGCCTCATCTCAGGCATTCAGGAAACAGGATCTTTGGACAGTTTAAGAAGAATTTCCAGGTGATTCTTATGTACACTTTGAAAAGCACTGCTCTAGGTCTATATTCTGAGTCTAAAAATGCTGCAACTCTCCACTTTCATCCACTCACTAAGTTAGCCTGGTGTCCGTGTTTTTCTACCCTTAGTTTTCAGTTCTCTTTACCTGATAGTACCTGATTAAACCATCTAGTTAGAGACAACATCTCAGTTTTGTAATTTTTATCAGAATTGTATCTACAGAAAGCAACTCTGTACAAGCAGTAAAAATATATATTCTAAAGTCTTGTGATTTGGTTTGTAGCAAACACCTCTCACTTGTAACTTCTGGCAAATTTCTGACTATTTCCAGAATGACAATAACATAAATAAAAGGATGAGAAAGAAGGAACACTTACATGGGCTGTAAGTTGTTCCTGGGAAGCTTTCACTTCAGCTTGTAATTTCTCAATGCACTGAAAAGTGGAAAATTTGGAAGCAAAGTATATAACTCTTACATATTCAAAGTATTCCAGATATAAATATGAACCTGTCCTCAAATCTTGTGAAGAGCAGCATTATCTCATCTAGATGTTTTAAAAACCATCATTGAAGAAATCATCCCTCCCATCTCTACTCCCCTTCCATTCTATGGAAGAGTCCAACAATGAAGCACACAAATGTGTTAAAAACTAGGAAATGATTGGAAAAAATAATATTAGCTTGATGTGATACAGTTAATGCTAACTCACTTTATATCATACATACTATATATCTTCATATAAAAACACGCATATACTTCAAAGGCAGATACAAAGTCTTTTGGGTTGAACAAGAGGTAACTTCATATAAAAACACCTACATAAATGTCCAGAGATTCAGAGGTTAATCAGTCTTTGATTGATTAATTCATTAAAAACATAGTCCAAATTTTATGATCTACTTGTTCTACTACACTAAAAGGAACTATTCCTTGATTAGCTTCAACTTTGAAAACTAAGCAATAATTATATAATCAGTACCACTTATAATATTCAGCTAATACTGTTCAAAAGGATATGTATCAAACATACTTGAAAAAAATATCAACAAAATTAATTTTTGCATGTAAATATTCACCAAAGAATAAAATTACCTTAACAAATACACATATTTTTATTTACCATCTTGAACTTAAATATGAACCTCCAACCCAACCAGCAACGGCTTTGCAGAATTGCCAGTTTCAGTAAGTTTAGATAACATTCAAAAGAAAGATTATTTTTCCTCTACAACATACCTGGTTTTTGGCAAGAACAATTTTTTCATATGGTTCCCCACTGCCTTCCTTATGTTCAGCAGCTTCTAGTTTTTCCTCCAGCTGGGAAACTTGCTCAAGCAGTTTTGATTTTGTTCCTTCAGAAGCTGCAAGCTAAAGGTGTTTTCTTGTAAGGATATGTAAGTGCAGTGCTTTTTTAAAGCTTCTTTTAAAGTCTAACTTATAAATGAATTGACTTCCACTGATGTCCATTACATATGAAAATAGCTTCTCTGGCTCACCCCTTATAGATGACCAATGGTTCGTATAGAAAGTGTAAAATAATGTTGATTTTATTTATTTTTTTTAAAAATAATTAAGCTCTTTCTGGGCAAGGGACGAGACTACATAGTTACAACAGGCAGAGAGATTTCTAGTGCAAAGATCTCAACACTCATCTTCATTGTGTTTCAGGATTGTATTTGTACAGCTGAGTCTGCAAACCTATACTGTGGTTCACAGATGGTCTTGTAACTTAACTCTGGTGGGGGGTGGCTACAGCTCTCTAGAAAGAGCAAGACCTCTGACTCCTTTGAATGTGCGCCACATAAGCAGCAGGGTGGATAGAGCTGGAGGGAAAGCAGGAATTTCAAGTTAAAATCTGTTTAAAGGCAGAGCTATGCTAAACCCACGCCAAAAAAAAAAAAAAAAAACTTCTAATGGTGGTTTTGTCTTTATTTTACTGTTCGTAGATTCCCCTGAGAGGAAAGTGGTAGTTTGATAGTCCCTGGGCCCTTTAATTCCCTTGGAGAGCCCTTGGGCTAGCGGTTCCTTTCATTCAGACAGCTTATTGTGCTTTTTTCTCTATTGCTCAGCAATAATTCTGAAAAAGTCCCTAAAACAGACACACATCTTTATATTCACTTCAACTCCCACTTTATTCTCTGGGGCCTTGGATTCTCTCTTAAGTATCTCTCATGACTCCAAGTGTTGTTACAAAGAGTTCTGTCTCATCTTGAAGAGCAAAGCAAGTTTGTGTTTTGTTTTTGTAACTGACAAAAGTTTTCATAAACACATAAAAAGCTTTACAAATGATTTTTTAAAGATTCTGAAAAATCAATTCACAATGTAAGCAATATAAATGACAAAAATATGGAAAGTATTCATCATATTAGTAATCAGAAGAATGCCAATTAAAGTATGAGTAATATGTATATTTTTACGAATGATTTTGGAACTGTTTCTGAGGATGTGTGAAACCATCATACCAATTTTAAAGATATTCCAATAACTCCATTTCTCGAAGTTTATTCACCTCTTCAAAGCATACATCAGTTAGAAAATATAGGCAAAGATGTTCATTGAAACACTGTTTGTAATAGGAAAAACTGGAAATAATCTAAAAGTGTATCTTCAGTGAAATAGTGTAAATTAGGATAGAATGAAATAACATCAACTGTTGGAAGTAAATGTAAAGATGGTTTTGATATACAATAAGTTTGGATAAAATCACATTAAAAAGCAATACGCATATTAAAATCTATTTAAAAAATAAGAAAATGTTAATGTCTGCATACAAATGTTAGGAAACATACGCTTAAAATTTTAGCAGTGGGTCTCTCTGGAAGGTAAGATTATACTCTCTACTTCCTATATTTGTGTTGTTTACTTTCTTTTTAAATTGTGGTAACACATGGGATTGCCATAAGTCGGAATCAACCTGATGGCAACCGGTTTAAGTACATATATATAACAAAACATTTGCCATTTCAACATTTTTTACATGTACAATTCAGTGACAATAATTAGGTTCATCATGCTGTACAACCTTTACTCCAGCAAGTTTTTAAAGACAACTTACCAAATGGGCAGGCGTGAAAAGTTTGGTCTGCCATGGACATGCAGTGGGCACATCATATATGCTGGCACTCATTCATTCATTCAGCCACACAGTCATTCATTTCACAAATATTTGTTCAGTTGTGCTGTGTGCTGAGGATTACAGAAGTGGAAGGTGAGGGCCAGAGGGAGCACTCATGTCATGAACTGTTGGCTGTGCCTTTTGGCTCTCAGTGACCTGGGAGGTCTGTTGCTCTCCTTGGGGCCACTTACATGTTTAACTCTTAGGTGCATGGTGGTTTGGGGATGTAGTCTGTTTTCTTTAAGCACCCTTTTATTTTACTGGAGATGCAATATAGTGTAATGATCAACCCGTCAATGCCTCTGGGTAAAAAATCTGTTTCACTACTTACTACCTATGTGATTTGGGCAGTTCACTAAGCCTCTCTAGGCTTGATTTTCTTACTTGTAAATGGGAATGAGAATGAAAAGAATAACACTTACCTCACGGGTATGTTTTGAGGGTTATATGAGTTTATACCAGTGAAACATTTAGCACAATGTCTGGAACATATCAAGCACTCAGTGGCATTATTATTTCTTCTACCTCCTCTAGATCACAGTCAGCATCCATCTGGGTTTTATCCAAATATTAATTATTTAGCAAATTGTAAAACACAAAATACCTGAAGATATCGTAGCCCCTGTGAACTGGTTACCATGAAGGCAAACTGCATTTGGTTTGCTCACTTACTGCAACCATTGCAATCTGCAAGGAAAACTCTGGGTGTCTGGCATTATTTTCTCTCAAATATATTTTCTCTCAACCTGGCCCTTTCTGTTCCCATGTCCTGCCTGTCCAGTAATCCATCCAGTCACCATTTGGTTGTCTTTTTTTTTTTAATATCTACCTGCTATTGTTTTCAGGCCTTTGTTCATTCACTCAACAGCTTTCATTTATTCATTCATTTGTTAAAGATGTTGGACAGTTATTTTATGTAAGACTATGGAGATATAAAAATGAAAGTGATATTGTTCTTATCCTCAAAAAACTCACACTTTAGCAACAAAGACAGATGATTTAAAACCAACTATTATACAACATGAAAATGTCTAGATGAATAAATAATAACAGTAATAATAATTGTTAAATTTACTGGTCACTGACTACAGGCCAGGCACTCCGAAGCCTTTTATTTTCACATTTATTTCACTATCCCAATTCATCTCCAAAACATCATAAGAGGTTCATGTTATTATTTATTCTCATTTTACAGATGAGTAAATTGAGGCTTAATGAGAAAATTTAGGTTCAATAAAGTTATATACGTTGCCCAAGGATATAGCAAGTAAGTGTTGGAACCTAAGCTGTCAAACATCAGGTCTGACTCCTGAAACACCAAATTGACCCCAGATCCAGAAGGGAATCCTGATAATCATGATAATCTCACCCTTTTTGCTGCTGATGGGTTCAGGAATCAAGGCCTAACCCAATCAGAACCTGGCCTTCCTCTGGCAACAGTTGCTGTTGAGGAGATGTGACCTAATTTGGACCATTCACACTGAAAGGAAGGATGATTTGGAGAAGAACTCTCTCTCTTACCTATCAGATGTGAATACTATCTGAAGCCATCCTAAAAGCATCAGGGAAGCCAGTCGTATGATGAAGTCACACTCTGAATGGAGGAGAGGACAAACAGGAAAAAAACCTGGGTTCTTGATGACATTCATGTCAATCTTGAAGCCCACCCTATCTCAGGACTTAACAGTTAGTGAGCCAGTTTCCTTATTGTTTAAGGAGTTGAGTTTTCTATTACCTGCAGCCAGAAAGATTCTACTGATACACTGTGATTCCAAAATCCCATGCTGTTGACCACAAGTGAACAAAGTATGCAAAAATAGCAGTAACTAATGTTCATTTGGTAGCTACCCCATACTAGGCATTGCACTGGGTGCTATATATATAGGATCTTATTCCATTGCTCAAAACCCTGTCGTTGTATGCTGTTGAGTCGATTTCAACTCCTACCAACGCTGTATGACAGAGTAGAACTGCCCCATAAGGTTTCCTAGGCTGTAATCTTTATAGGAGCAGATTTTCATGTCTTTTCTCCTGTGGGTTCGAACCACTGACCTTTTGGTTAGCAGCCTATGCTTAACCATTTTGCCACCAGGGCTCCTCAAAACCCTAAAAGCACTTTTATCTATATTTTTTGTTATCACCAATTTAAAGCTTGAGGAACTAGGGCGTTCCTTTTATGGGTTAAGTAGCTTGCCTAACATACCACAACTAATAAGAAGAGTTTAGATTTGAGTCCACATGGTCTGCCTCTACTCTGTCGACTCTGTATCATATCCAAACCCTAACTCTGAGGCTGCCTGCCAAGATGAGTCTGTGATTTTTTTCTCCTTATTATGTGGCCCTCAGCATTCTTTCTCAGCCTATTTGTCTACCCGAAGAAAACTTATTTTCTTTTTTTTAAGATCTAAGAACACTTTCTTTCTTGCCATCTTGCTTCCTTTTTATACGCATACAAGTCCCATATCTTTCCTATTCTTTTATAAGTGTTTCTGTGCAAATATCTCTTTGACTCAGGTTTAACTCAGGTTCAGCTTCACTGTAAGAAACCTTGAGTTGAAATCAGGAGATCTATGTTTTAGTCTTAACCCATGACTCACTGGCTCTAGGACCTTGGTGCCTATAACAGGTCTTACTATGTTAATTGCTACATTTTTACAGGGTACTTCTGTAGTCATATATTCAAACTAGATTGTAAATCCCCCAGAAGGATGAATAGAGAATTCTGTCAAAACTTACAACATAACACAAATTGACCAGGAGCAGTCTTTGCTAAGATTTTTCCATTTATTAACTTTTTAACTATGAGTCTTAATTCTCGTATGTGTCATCACCTGACAAAAGCAAGACAAATCAAAAACCAAACCTGTTGCTAACAAGTCTGACTCATAGCAGTGCTATAGGACAGAGTAGAACTACCTCATGACTTTCTAAGGAGTGCCTGGTGGATTTGAACTACCGACCTTTTGGTTAGCAGTTGTAGCACTTAACCACTATGCCACCAGGGTTTTCAAAAGCAAGATATAGGGATCTTATTTCGCCTCAAGTGGACATGTTGGGGCAATGACTGATAATTTATTGTTGGATTCCATTACATAGTGGTGGTACTGTTTATTAGCACAGGGCAATTGGTACTCCCCCAACCCCTGTGCAAATGGCCCATCAAATTAGCCTGCTAATCCAAAAAAGAAAAGAAAAGGAAAAAGAAAGAAAGAAAAAATGTAGGTCTGAGATAACGTTTTAAGCACTGCATAAA